TTGTGACGCGTCAGTCAGTTTTACCCTTAAGTCACTTCAGGTCATACTTGACTTCATTCTTCATTAACTGTCTTTAGCTTTATGGTTTTATTCCATACCGCTGCCGATCGATTCGTGAAACATTTTCCTCGAGCCTAATCTTTTATTCTGATAACATGAGACTTAATCTTTCAAGGTAATAGTTGTGATACAAATTCCTAGTATTTAGTTGTAGTTGCATAGTTAAAAGAAAACGGTGAATACTGAACCCATTGCTTTCCTTATAGCACTACCACAGTCCCTAAGGGATACCTGCTGCATGACTTAAGCATACCAATTTTACTTCTAAGGTGAGAGTTAAAGTGGGCATATTTTGTATAAAAAGGCAACTTTCCAGAAGATTAGTCTCATAACCTAAAAATACTCAAATGTGGTGATATTACTCCTGGTTATAGTGTTGAATTCTCTCTTAGAAATGGCTGAATCCTGATTTTGGGCTGGCTTAAATGTTTTAGACTGGACAACAGCCCTGTTGCTCTCTGTAATATCTCCTTTGTTGGCACAGAGGTGCAGCAGCACTGCTTTAACTTTGACCTCCCCCATGTCAGTATCAATCATTGCATAACATGCACATAGGTGGGTAGAGTCTAATTCCTGGATCAAATGTTTTTTGTTATTGTTTTTTTTTTTTTTGTCTGGTTTTCCTGAAATGCTTTCAATGACTAAAGTGGAGATTATTTACTATTTTATGACCATTTCTTAAATAGATGCACATAATACTATAAAAACTAATGCAATTATCTTTCAGGTAGAATTTAAGCACTACTATTTATGTTAATTTATGTGTTAAATGTTAATTCTTTTTATAGACGCCTTTTTTCCGTTTCATGATTAATGAAGTGAATTCATACGTGCCACTGTGGTGTAAATGTGTTTACTGCCAATATAGGTTCTTTAAGAGAGCTAATTTTTTCCAAACATGGGGTTATGTTGCTCTTCTCCTAAAACTAAGACTGATCACAACAGGAATGCTCAAATGTATTTTGAGTGATGACCACTAGTTGTTAATAAATACTATAGGTAGTTTAAATTATCTAAAGTTGGAATGTATTTCTGTCTTTTATGGCAAAATTGATGAAGCTGTAAAAATTGTTGGGCAAAAGATAAAATATTTTTCTCTTCAGAGTGTATTTAACACTCACCAGCAGCATAGAAAAAGCAAGGACAGCCTACACCCTTAAAGTCCTCCTCATATTTGAGACTGCCCTCAATGGGTTGCAGTGTGGTACTACATACTGAAAGCGTGTTAGGAGCCGTGACTATTGAGCAGACACTGAAAGCCTTTACAGGACCATTAGTTTTTGTCCAGTTTTCCTGCAGAATAGGAGTGTCCATTGTAAAGTAATTGCCATAAAAGTGCAATAAACCTCTTAATGAGCCTTTTATTCCCAGCAGGCATTCTCATCCTTGACCCATTAGATGTTTTCTCAGTTCTAGCTATTGCCTGTGCTTTCCAAGTAGGCCTTTCTGTTAAGGAAGGCTTGTACATCATAAATACATGGGGTGTTTCAGTCCTGTGGAACATGTGATGTGATATGAATCTTCATAGGGTACAATACTTAATACTATATACAGTAGTCTGAAGGAACCAGTTGATTAAAATATTTTCTCAAATAGTGATCACACTGTATGAAAACAGGAGTCCCTTCTTTGTCTTAGCCATTACATGATTGAAATGAAATGACCTTTATTGAACAGAATTTTATTGTGAGATATATATATATATATATATAAATGTTGATATTGCATTATTGTCCACCCCTAGAAAATGTAATCGCTTAACAATTGATGCAGGTTCTATTGTTTGTCTGCTGGGTGGACTAAATGCTGTGTATGTGTTTGATATTTTGAAGCTGTGTCGTTTTGGATATCTTAACCTGCTGCTTCTGACACAATTCACATTGCTATAGCAACTTGGCTTCTGAGGATTACATCTAATTCAGACCATTAATGTTGTCAGCCACATGTCCAGTGTGCTTAATGTTTAGTTGCATCAGACTAAAATATTCCTCCTTTTCAGCCTAATGTCTACACCTTAGTCTGGATAAATGTGTGACTTCATCCTTTTAATGCATTTTTTTTATGACTCATAGCAATTTTTACAGCCTTTATGCAGGAATTTTTGGACTGTTTGAGCTAATCAAACAGCAAATTGTAATAATTTACCTTTAAAAGACTCTAACTGAGGCCATTTTAAAGAATCTCCGTTTACTATATAATCGTCATTGGCCAATATATTTTTATGGCACAATAATCTTGATTTTAAAAATCATGACACCACTATATTTGCTCAAAGTTTTATATGATTTATCATGCAAATTTTCCCATTTATAAAACAAAAGTACAACTGTTATTTCTAAGGCTATTTCAATTAGCCTGTGTTTTGATGATCACGGTAACATAACCACTATAGATTATATTTTTAAGGATCCAAAAAAAACATTATAAAATGACTACAAATTTCCCTCAAAACCTAAAACTATTTTAAAAAGTCAAAGATTTAACAGGTTTGGGCATAAAGTGTGTGTTGTACAGCTTAATTGCAAGCATTAGACACAGATTTCATTCAGTGAAATCTCACTAAAGCTCTTTAGACGTGAGTTCAGATTATTAGGCCAAGACATGCCGACATGTTGGATATCCCCAAATTCAGGTCGGACCAGTCCAGACTTTCTCCCGAGCTGACCAGATCACTCTTACCTCACCACACAAGAGCAGGATTATCTCTTAAAATATCCTACAGGCATTGCGATTATCGAGGGGAAAAATTGGCACAATTGTCTTGCTACGTGAACCATCTTATTGTAGCATAAAAGACCATGTTCTCGTATGAGTAATAAAAGTACAATATGGGTGTAATATCTGGTGATTAGCTAGGCTTATGGGGTTGGGTAGCTTATTACCACACTTCTCTACCGCAGTCGTAGAATAATGCTAACGTAAAATCAGTGATGGGTTTCACTGATGAGTCTGCTACTCTGTAGGAAATTTCCTTTTCCTTTATGCATGGTACCTGTGGTAGCTCTTTTCCACGTGGATGGATTCCAATTCGGGTTGGGCTGCGTGGATTACTTGTTAATTGATGCTAAATGCAGTAAAAAAAACCTCCATTTACATCTGAACTTAAACAGGATGGAAGGACTTTAAGCTGTGAATATATATAATGTTTGACTAAAAATGTTAGTATTTAAATTTTTTATTGTATTTATTTTTTTAACCTTTGTATACTTTAATAGAGGCTAATGCCTGGTGTGGAAATATTCGGTTCAGGTTGATTCATAAAGTATTTTATATTTTGAACTGAAGATGATGCCATACAGTCTACATTGATTTAAAACTGTGGAATAATCTTTACTACTGAAAGCTTCAGCTGGTTGCTCCCTATGTTTTGTGTATTTTTAGCAACATCAATGAATGATGTTAAACCAGCTGTGGCAGTGCTGCACCACTTTCATTTTTGCCTTTTTTCCTTTTTTTTTACTTTTTTTTTTTTTCTTTTTTTTTTGTGAAAATAAATTATCTTAGGAAAACACAAAATTAATGCAAGTTTCTTAATTATGAAAGCTCTTCATTATACTAATACTAATATAGTACTATATTAGTATTATTATATAGACTATTGTTGTTGATACTTCTTTGGCCATTTCTGCTAACACTGTTCACCAGATTTTATAGAAGTTATTTTCTGTGCATCCTCCATTTAACCTTTAATACCCAGTTATTGTGGCAATATTTTACACATGGACTTTTACAAGCCTGGAATTTGGTAAAAGTAATCTTCCCGATTTCTGACCTGACCTATCCAAACAATGGATAAGCTGTAGCACTGTTACCACAGTTGGGTCAGACTGGACCCATTGTTTGGTCAAATGGTCGTTGTTTTTAAAGGTGGTTGCATCATGCATTCATCTGATAGGATTATTGCTTCTGTCCCACACTGATGGGACCCAAACCCCTCCAGGCTGCCTGTTAATTACATTTCCAGCTGTATGTTATGTAGCTGCAGCCGTCCTGGGAGCTGCTGCGGCTTTAGCTTTGATGTGGTCAGTCCTTCCTAGTCCCATGTGTGAGCTAACCCAAAAAAGCACTTACTGTGGTTAAAAAAAAAAAAGACATAATTTTTTTTTTTTTGTGTTGGGAAGTGACTAATGTAGCTATTTCAGTTTTTAAACTGCACCTTTCATAGGCTTTTATGCATTACTGTTATTCCTCACATTGTACAGTCAAGGTTAACTCTTCTTTGAAAGAACATACCAAGGTGAAAGAGTGAATAATTCATGATGTGCAACATGTTCAGCCCCTCTGGCTAAATGCCCACTGGTAATTGGGACAACACCGTTCTGTGTCTTTTTAGCTCGATGTCTCCCGTTGCTACGTTACCGAATAAAACCTTGAGTGGGCCTGTATAGTGTTTGGAATGACAGCCATGCAGTTTCTATACCTGATACAACCCCTTTGTATCTGCACGTCTTCTCTGCACAATGCTACGACCATTTGTTCCAAATGCAAAAGACAGACTGTATTTGCAAATCTTTCCTACCTGTATGCATCGTACATTTGTTCTTTTTAACATGTATTAGTGTTTACAGTTCTCCATCTTAAAAATATAACTGTATTAATATTTGGCTTATGTAAGAGCTCTTTCCCTCAGCTATGTTTAACTAGGTCAATTAAAAGCAACAAAATTTATGAAGATGGTTAAATTGAAACAGCAACAAAAAAAAGCAAAACAGTTTCTAGACAAGAATGGAAAAATATTTTGCAACACATCTTTTGTACGACTTAAGAAAAGCTACTATGTAAGAGATTCTGCTGATTTTTTTTTTATTTTTTATGCTTTTTAACAGATTATTATTAGCTAAATGTCAAATAAGATGATAATGAGTGTTTTACTATCCCATTTTCTCCAACCCCATATTGAGATATTAAACAGTCTGGTTTTTGTTTTTGCTCAATTACAGGAGTGAGCTCAGCCTTCCAACAAACCTCCCCCTCCTTGCTGGGCTAAGATGAGTATTACCAGTGACGAAGTGAATTTCTTGGTCTACAGATACCTCCAAGAGTCAGGTTTGTGTCACAAATATCTGGTTTAACTATAGCAGATGAAACGTGTTCATATTTGGTATGATCTTAATTTGGCTAGATGTGTATACATACGATAAATAGTGCAAATATTTAAAAAAAGCCCATGATTTCATCATTTTTTTTTTGACATTCACTATTAAACCGAGGATACCTACTTCCTGATGTGTTCTTTTGGCTACAGTGACTCAGGCTAAGTATTTTGTGTTTTGTATCAAATGAAAGAAGAGATCCAGCATAAATGGTTTCAGGCCTTATTTGTTTCTTAAATGAAATAACATGTAAATGCACTTTTTCTTTAATTAAAGAATTAAATTTTCTCTTGAGTATCATAGAGTATAATGCCGTTTTATTATTTTTTTCTTTTTTAGGTTTTACCCACTCAGCATTCACCTTTGGCATTGAGAGCCACATCAGCCAGTCAAACATCAATGGAACACTAGTGCCCCCTGCAGCACTCATCTCCATCTTGCAGAAAGGACTACAGTATGTTGAGGCAGAAATCAGCATTAATGAGGTGAGGGCAAAAACTGGGGATGTGATTCTATTGACATGTTTTTACTCATTATCCTTGGATGCAAGTTCATTGTATTTATTTATTTTTATTTAAAAATGTATTGAAAATTTATAGGAGTGTAAAAGCAGATGTTGTATTAAGAACGGCAACAGTTTGCATTTGTTATAAATAGACGAACACAAAGGGTTTCGGGAAATGCCTACATAGTTTATCACCTGCGTTGTATTAATAAATATGGAAGTGCTTAAGTTCTGAGTATTACTTATGATGCAGCCAGCGTTGGGAACATTTCTAGTTTGTTTTCCACTAGAGATTTATCAGTAGACAAATTGCATAAGTGATCTTTATAAAATGAGGTCACAGAGACATAACAGTCTGCAGCTTGAACACACAATGGCAGCTATTCAGGCAGGGTTTGTTTTTTTTGCTTTGTTTGTTTTATAATAACGAGACAGGATAATATAAATTGTTTCATTTTTGTGCTGTTTGTAAATTAAAGTGGATATATATTATTTAGACTCTGGTTGACAAATGAAAGGAATTGGCAAATATTCCTTACGATTTAAACTGGCCTCAAAACATTTAGTTAAAATTGGAAAATGTTAGCTAGGCAGCTGGTGAAAGCCAGGGGGTTTGAAATCCCAATGTTTTTATTTTTATTTTGCATCCAGTGAAGAAAAAAACACTTACTAAAAATACCGCTATTTTCAAGAGCCGTTGCTTTGTTTTTTTTGTTTTTTGGGGAGAGCATAAACATTTATTGAAACCGGATCCCAACATAAACAATTAGACATTAGTTTCATGTTTCAGTGTGTTCATATGAGCCGCATCTCTTTTTTTTTTTTTTTTTTTTTTTTGAACAATGATGCTTTAGCTTTATCTCAACTTTTCACTGTAATCTGCTGGTCTTTACAGTCATGCTGCTGTATTAAACCACTGATAGGCCGTTAGGTAGTACACTGTGCTGTGAAGTCACCAGCCGCCATATTGGTACTCCCCAGTTAGACTGGTCCGAATGTAAACGATACGTGCGCTACAGCATCGAATAATGATGATTTTCTTATTATCAGGGTTAAAATTAATATTATTAATATCATTACAGAATAAAGATAAACTAATCACTTTGACACACACTTGCTGTTTCATAGCATCAGTAGATTAATGTAATTTATGGTAAAAAAAAAAATGGGCACATCACATTGCATAGTCAGTATAAAGTCTATGAAGTCTATAAATCCTGTAATATAATAAATTTTACAAATCCATTGCATGTGTTAATGGTGCATAATGATACTGTACTCTGATATTAAGAAAATTACACATGCACACACCATCTGATGATGTGCCAAACTTGCTAAACCGATCATGTACATGTAATATACATGTGTTGATTACATTGTAATGATAATTACATTACAACACAGGCATTTTTATGGTGTGATTCCAGGGAAGTGGGGAGTACCAAGATGGAAGCGTTTGACTTTGGTTTTTTCGGGCCTATCAGCAATCCAGTGAATAAATAGAGATCAGTGTGTCAACTTTGCATTAGTACATTGCCAGTTTTTCTGTCAATGGTTTCTGTGTCTGTGATCTGTGGCGGTGTCACAGCACCACCAAAGGGCCCTGCATATGTACTACATAATCTTAAATGCTACTAGAAACTTTCTATCTAAGTTGTTTATAAAAAATATACAGTGTTCCTCTTCACGAGGACTAGTTCTAAAATCACTAGCCTTTTTTTGTTTGCAGAAATTTGCCTTTACCGCTTCCCACAGATTTCCTCTAAGGATGTTTGAAAATAATATAAACACCAATAATTTACAGTGTTGTTTTTTTGATGATGAAAATAAATACAATAATTCCTTTCTTCCACAATAAACAAGACTCATTTTACATGGCCTTTCCTCCCTGACAGGACGGGACTGTCTTTGATGGGCGGCCGATCGAGTCACTTTCGCTTATTGATGCTGTGATGCCCGACGTGGTGCAGACGCGGCAACAAGCCTTCCGTGACAAGCTAGCCCAGCAACATGCCGCTTGCACCGTCTCTGCTTCAACCTCAGGAAACCAGTCTAATGCACCAAAGAATGGAGAAGCCACCGTTAACGGAGAGGAGAACGGCACTCACAACATGAGTAAGTGGAACCATCCCAGTTAGCTGATAGGAACAGCCGTCCTTGACTTCTTAAAGATTTAGGTAATCAGATTCCTCTTGACATGCTTCCAGGTGTGATTCTGATAGGATATTTGATAAGTTGTTAGTTTGATTGGTGTCATGCTGTTAGGTTAAAAGTGTAGTCGAAACATTTGAAACAGATTTGCGGTTGAAGCTACAAAAAAGATGCACCAGAACCCTTAGTTTCTTCATTCGTAAAAAAGAAAAGAAACATTTGTTTTACTCTAAATTCAATATGGCAGTTTTTTTTTTCCATTTTTGAGCCATCTGACCCAGACTGTCACAGTCACATAAAAATTTTTGTTTTAAGATGTTCAAAAGCAACCAACTGTCCACCAAGGCTTAAGCTGTGAATTTGAAGAAGCTGGAACATCAGTGTCAGAGTCCTGACAATAGAAAGAGGCGACTGAGGTGACAGCTGTTGACAAGCTTAACACCATCTTTACAAGAAAAGTTTCAATTTTCAGATGAAACAAAGTCGAAGCTTTCTGTCTTCAGTGATGAGAAGAATGTTTGGATGAGTGAAGATGATGATAAAAACTAGGAACACGCTTTTAGCTTTAAGGCATGGTGACGGCAGCAGCATACTGTGGGGTTGTTTTGCTCCCATTGATATCGGTTAACTGCACCAAGATTTTGAATGTCAATAACTGAATGTTGGGCAAAGCACCTTGGACTAAAAGCTGCAGGCATTTACCTTTACTGTTCTGCAATGTGGATTATTGCTTACGGGTAACAAAAAGCTAATTCAGTGTCTCTGAAAATCTAAATATTGTAAAAAAGAGAAAGGCTGGAAATGTGGTTTCCTGAACCTCTAATGGTCTTTCAGTCTGAGTCAATATGCCACATAATCATGGGGAAAATGCATATTGACAAATGTCCAGAAGACACCAATTCATGTTGTCCATATATATATATATATATATATATATATATATTTATTTTTACTGTGGTTGTGTAATTTAAGAATAAACTGGGGTTTTGTGTGCATCAAAAAAGTCCCATTTATTCCACAGATGTATTTGTTTATTACAAATTGATTTAATATATTTCATCTGTCCATTAAATGAAATATTGACTAAAGATTGATTGATGGTACTCCTGCCAGTGATGGATTATGCTATATTCTGACCAGCTTTCCTGTTCCCCTGCTCCTATCAGATAACCACAGTGAGCCCATGGAGGTGGATGGAGATGTTGAGATACCAGCCAGTAAATCCACGGTCCTCCGAGGCCACGAGTCTGAAGTGTTCATCTGTGCCTGGAACCCTGTCAGTGACCTGCTGGCGTCAGGGTGAGTACGGCTGTGCTAAGCAGACCTGGGATGTGTCGGTTCATATTGTGCACACCCTGTGGTGTTTATCAGAGAAATGTTTTGGTTTTTACTGCCATGTTCAACAAATGTTTAAACTTTCCATTCTGTTCGATGCCCCTTTCAGCTCGGGTGACTCCACAGCTCGGATCTGGAACCTAAACGAGAACAATAGCTCCAGCTCCACCCAGTTAGTTCTCCGTCACTGTATCCGAGAAGGTGGTCAGGATGTTCCCAGCAACAAAGACGTCACGTCACTGGACTGGAATGTAGGTTTCAGATCCTCATTGCTTCTTTCTCCTCCTGCCAAATATTAAACAGATGAGTCACAGTTATGTTCTCTCCTACCAACAGAGCGAGGGCACTCTTTTGGCGACAGGCTCGTATGATGGGTTTGCCAGAATATGGACGAAGGATGGTAAGTCCTGCATCACCGTCACACATTGAGTCTGTCTGGATTTGCATTGGATCTTTTTGTTCAGAAGACAGCAACAGACACGTTACAGGTAGTTTGTCTTCTGCAGGAAATCTGGCCAGCACCTTGGGGCAGCACAAAGGGCCAATATTTGCACTCAAATGGAACAAGAAGGGAAACTGTATTCTGAGTGCGGGTGTAGATAAGGTATTTGAAAGATCCCTTTAAGAATTTTTGAAACATGATCCACTTGATGCAAAATTTGGATTTCATTTCTGTTTTACCCATAATCTTCTTTACAAATAGTTAAAGTAAACCTTTAGAATCTGGCATATTTTTAAGAATAGACTGCTTTTTTAGTTTAGAAACAAAAATCGTATTTCATTTGATTTCACACACACAAGTTGAAATTGGGTGATGACTTTTTTTTTTTCCTGATTATTTTGTTTTCCCTACTTATTAATTGCATCTTTAATTTTCCAGACGACAATCATTTGGGATGCAAATACAGGAGAAGCCAAGCAGCAGTTTCCATTTCACTCAGGTCAGTATACGCACGAGGAATTCACAGCATTAATATCTTCCAAAAAAAATTTACTGGGGCCCATTTATTTATTTATTAAAAGTATTTAATATTAAATTCAAACTCAGATATATTTAAAGCATTTAATTTTGTGAATTTCTGATGATTATGGGGTAAAAAAAATGAACAAGCTATTTTAAATCATTTTAATGTTGCTGGTTACTACAGATATGTTATTTTATGACGTTAACTGTTAAAGAAACAGACTTCCACAAGAAGGGTGATTCAAGGCTTAAGATTTCCTTATCAGAGTGTTTTATTCAAGCATATTGTCAGAAAGTTAAGTGAAAGGGGAAAAATGGGGCTAAAATTGGGCATAAGAAGCAAGAATGACTACAGGCTTGTGGTGATTATGTTTACAGCTTATGAATTTTATTTATATATATATATATATATATGTGTGTGTGTGTGTGTGTGTGTTTCAAGGACACAGACTAGAACTGCAAGTCTCTCTGTAGATAATAGATAGATAGATAAATCAAAGTTGGCATACATAAACAATGAAATATGTGATTGTAATAAATCAATATTACATACCCTTGTAATGAGGTTTTCTAAGATGCCTGTATGTTCGATATAAAGTGTTTTCCATTCATATTGGGAGACCATCAACATTCCAACCTCTAATGATTGCTTCACAGCTCCTGCGCTGGACGTGGACTGGCAGAATAACACCACGTTTGCCTCCTGCAGCACAGACATGTGTATCCACGTGTGTCGCCTTGGTAGCGACCGGCCTCTCAAGACCTTCCAGGGTCACTCGGTGAGCAGCTTCTCCCTTGTTGCTTTTCTGACCTCATTTCCACCTTTGTAATGAGCGTTGTGTTTTGCAGAATGAGGTCAATGCCATTAAGTGGGATCCATCAGGTATGCTGCTCGCCTCCTGCTCTGATGACATGACCTTAAAGGTAAGTCCAGTTTCCCGCATTTGGAGCTTTAGAGAAGACAACATGGGAGATCATTTGTATTCATATTCTGTTACCGTCACACATAGATCTGGAGTATGAAACAGGACTCCTGTGTCCACGACCTCCAAGCTCACAGTAAAGAAATCTACACAATCAAGTGGAGCCCGACTGGACCAGGCACTAATAACCCTAACTCCAACATCATGCTTGCCAGGTAGGACATTGTGTTGTTTCTACGGTGCCTTCCTAAATTATTTACACCCCTTCAACATTTTTCAGCTTGGTAAAAAAAAAATTTTCATTTAAAAATATGAAAGTAATTGCATTCATTTCAATTACTGTTTAGAATCACTTTTTTCTGCAGCTGCTTTATAATTACAGATCCAAGCTTTGCACACCTAGAGACATTTTTACTCTGCAAAGTGGCTAAGTTGGAGATCATACAAAGTTACCATTGTTTGAAACTCGCCACAGGTTTTAGATTACATTTAAGATCGGACTATTCTGAAATATCAGATCATGATTGGATCTAAGCCATTACAGATGTGGCTGTTATGTGTAAAGATGAATTTCTGTGCAAGTCTGATATCTTTTGCAGCTTTTTTAACAGGTTCAGACACTTTTAGGTTTTTTATTTGTAACATATGTCTAAAACATTGATCATATTTTGTCATAAAGTCACAATATGTGAAAGAGATTTTGTTGGTTGTAAAATAACATAAACATCATGTTTAAGGGGTATAAATACTCAAAGACAAAGCAGCGCTGCCTTTCAGATGTCCTGCTGTGAGCGGACCACATGTTGATATGCAAAGCAAACATTTAAATGAAAACCACCTCAGGCCTAAGTCCCACACCACTGCATCCTGACCTAAATGTTTCACTTATTGCTATGGGAATTTAGAGTCTATCCTGGTAACCCAGAACACCTGCTTTTTGTAATATAATTCATCTCTTATTGCTGGGTTCTGAAGCTACTTCTTAATACAAGTACTTTGCTTTGGCAGTGTTACATTTTTAAACTTTACATACTCTATTCTTTGTCTGTAGTAGTAGGTCTTTATTTCTACTTGTCTGTATACATTGAAGAAGGAAAGACTTTTTGTCACCTCCAGTTTTGGTCAATCTAAAGGTGTCATATAATAGATTTGAACATTGTGTGAAATAGCTTAAAGCTGAGAGTTACGTGTATGTAAGGTTAAAATAAAGGTGTCATCAATGGAACAATGATGCTTTTTTAAATACTTTTATCCTTTTCATTCCCCCTCCAAACATAGTGCATCGTTTGACTCGACAGTGCGACTATGGGATGTTGAGCGAGGGGCTTGTATACACACCCTGACCAAGCACCAGGAGCCTGTCTACAGCGTGGCCTTCAGCCCCGATGGCAAACACCTGGCCAGCGGCTCCTTCGATAAATGCGTCCACATTTGGAACACCACGGTAAGAGTCAAAGTGCTGAAGCTGCAGCTGAAAAAGTTTTTTAAAAGTTTATGATAGGAAACCTTGGGACTCATTAGTATTTTATTCTTGATGCTACCGTTTCAGACTGGAGCCCTGGTCCACAGCTACAGGGGGACTGGGGGCATTTTTGAGGTCTGTTGGAACAGCACAGGGGATAAGGTTGGAGCCAGTGCATCGGATGGCTCGGTAAGCCACACTTATTGTTGCCTCTTTTTTAGTTAATGGTGTATTACAGTAGATGTCTGCGTGTGATGGACCGGGATAGTATAAGTTCAGATTTTTAATTAAAATACTGAAAAACATTTTTTTTATTTTCTAATTATTTTATGCTCCCCATCAGAATTTGGCTAGGTCTTTGCATATTAAAAACACTTTGAACACTTAAAGGGGGATATTTTACTAAATTTGTTTTTATTGTTCCAATCTCTTCCAATTTTAGGTTTGTGTTCTTGATCTCCGGAAATAGCCCTTCCAAAAAGATGAAAAATCCTGGAAAACGCAGAAATTTGCCTTCTTCAGACATCAGCAAACACACTCTCCTCGCTTGAGAAGGGCTGTAAAGGTGGACTGAAACGAACCCCTCACAGGACCTTAATCAGATGACAGCAGCAGCAACACCAACTAAATTCATTGCACCTTAATTTTTGTTGATGTTTGTTTTTATGGAGAGCCTGAGAGAGGATGGAAACTGACTCGGAAAGCCTTGAAAGTGGATCTGACTCCCCCCTGGGTGCATCCATGTATCAAAAGGTTTCTAACCAGAACATGCTGGGGTCCCCACAGGCTGCAGATCCTGCTGTTATTAAGGTGCAAGGGTGGAAACAAAGATGAGTCAAGAATTACAGAAAGAAGGGAAAACGGTTGTTTGAGCTGGAAGAAGCAAAATGTAAAGTGAAGGCGTTGGGCTTTTAATTCCTCTTAAGGAAATATAATTTGATGTCCAAATGATGGAACAGGCAGGAAGATGAGAGTAACCAATTATCACAGCAAGCTGACGGGGTGCCTAACGTTTCCACAGTACTTGTTGCTTGAATGACGTTATCAGCAGATGGACTTTAGAGAGTCAGATTGAATGTGCCGCTACGAGGTAGATCCTAGTTCATAAAAAAAAAAAAAAAAACACAGGTCAACAAGAGGAAAACTTGCCAAGTAATCATCCGGATACCCTAAAACGGCCTGTTCTCTTAAAATAAACAGATTTTCGTTTTGTAAAAAAAAAAAAATGATGTGAAAATTGTGGTTTACAAAGAGAATCTTTCTCCCTTTTTGGATGTAAATTTCAAGAATGTAAAGATGTGTAAATCAGATGAAAACACAGACTTATATACTGTGTATATATGTTTATATACAGTTCACTTTATCGCTATCTACAGGGGCTCTTTATTGGCGAGAGCCGTCGTCTTCGCTCTCAGTTTGTGACTAAGTGCATGTGTTATCGGCCTCTTTTATGACAGTCTTTATAAACACGCTCAGCTATATACAACGTCGTTTTCTTTTTTAATAAGGTGAAAAATGATACGGTGAGATGTAATAACCATCCCACTATGTCCTCCTCTGTTGGCTTGTCATCAAAATAAGGAAGGGAACAGCCATCGCTCTCCTTCTTGGTTTGCTGATTCAGCTGATCTGACAGCTTATTGCCAATAAATCCAACCTTTTAAGAGAATGAACCCGACTCATGGGAGTTCTGCTGGCTTTGTTAGCGTCGCCATGTTTCCTCTGTGGCACTTTAAGCTGAATCTAGCTACATTATTTTAACCAGAGGGTAGAGTTCTGCAAAAAAAAAATCCTGCTGGAAGCAAAACAGCCTTTGTTTTAAATTTTATTTTCCACCTGGTTAAGTTTGGTAATGGTTTTGAAATTCCTGTGATGTGGATGGCAAATCAGTACTGCAAAATATTCCACTTCTTTTTGCCTTCTTGTTTTTGATCTTTCACATTGATGGCATTTTCTGCAACAGCGACATGAAGTGCACTTTTTGTGATGGTGGATTCAGAGGGCGTTCGGCTTTGGTTGAAAGTGCTCTGTTTTTTTTTTGTTTTTTTTTCTCTAAATCTTTTGTCTTTAATGATTCGATTGTAAAACATGTTGCAAAGCTTTCTTTTTTTTTCTTCTTTTTTCATTTCATTTTCTGAGAGCCATTATTGTCTGTGTCAGACTGAGAATTGGGCTGTGTCTGGGGGGTGGGGAGTGAACATTGGCATGCCAAGAAGCCCAAAACATGAGGTGACAGCTATTTTCTCTCTTGTACCTTGATCAAGGGTGCTGTCGCCTGTTTCCAAGACAAAACTTTGAAGTCATTCATTGTTTCAAATAAATTACTATATTTTGATATTTGAAAATTTGTCTGTGTTCTGATTTTTTTTCTTTTGCATGTTATAAAACACATATATGTCACTATTGGTGCTTTATCTAGAAGAATTAAAATTGTTTTCATTAGATCAGACATGTAGAGATAGATGGATGGAAAAAGTCCTTTTCTGAATGTCTGTATAGAGCAGTCATTCTTGTATGAATAAAATTTTATTTAAAAAATTCAGAAATAATTAATATAATTCACCATTGGTTCATAATGTAAATATTGATTTTTACTATCTCTTAAAGTAAATCTTTTTTACTCGTTTGTATTGAAAAGAATCCTTTTAATTTCAATGTGACATTAGCTTTAGTCACAAAAAAAAGTCATAGATCAACAGTTTTGGTCCTCTTAGTGCGAAGCCCAATAGTTTCCTACAAGAAGGAGACATTGGAGACATTAGATTTTAGTTTTATACATGAGCTGCTATAAACAAAGTGTGGCAAGGACTTTTTATCTTTTAGAACAGGGGTCTGCAACCTTTCATATCCAAAGAGCCATTTTGCACAGAGTCCGACCAAGTTTTTTTTTGGCTCTTATAGGAAATTAGTTGCCATCTTAAACAATCAGCAAAAATAAAAATATTAAACAATTTCCAAGCTATTTAAAAGAAAAATGTCTGTCTTGTTCTTTTATTCTCCATTTTTCTGTCTTATAAAAAACACTAGCACTTTTAATACTGGTATTTATTATAGTACATCATTTAGCTCTTTATATACATTTTAGCCTCTATTAGGAGCTGCTGGGTCCAAAAGAGCCACAGGTCGCTGACCCCTGGTTTAGAAGAACATGGGTGCAGAAATCAGGCTCCTGGGTTGATAAGCTTGGTACTCCCTAAACCAGAGGTCTTCAACGTTTTCCAGGCCAAGGACCCCCAAACTGATGGTGAGATGGAGCGGGGACCCCCTTATTTTATATTTATCCATGAAATAGTGTTAGATCAAACTGGTCCTATAGTCCCTCTATTACAGATGGAGTCATGTAATGAAAGTAATTTTGCTCTGGGATTATCAAAGTATTTATGATTCTGATTCCACGTTGATGGGACAGGTGTTGCGAATAAAATGGTGCCCAGCTTGAAAGAGCTCCTGTGTGTTGCTGAATGTGTGCATTGATGACTGAAAGATATCTTCTGACTCCATTTATCTTTTTACTACAGTTTGTTGAATTCATGTTAATGTATATTTAAAGACATTTCAATTAGTGGAAAAAATTGCAGAGGCGATATAAAAAAAGTCTAATTAACCAAAGCTTTCATGACCCCCATGCAGTACCTCCTTGGACCCCCTAGGGGTCGCGGACCCTCTGTTGAAGACCTCTGCCCTAAACAGTTCAGTGGGCTATAACAGGGATCTATGGAAGCATGAACATCAAAACTTGTCATTTAAACTGGGGAGATCCACACATCCCAACACCTGTACCGGAAATGAAAACCAGCCTGCTTCTGATTGATCTCCAAGCTGGCTAACACCAGATAATATCTCCGGTAATCGAGTCATCCTGAGAGATGACCGGAGAGTCATAGATCTCTGTATTTCTGGTGTGTAGAAACGACTGGTTTAGTTTGTCTCATTCTCCCCTTATGTGTCTATCTTAAACAAGCTGTTCCAACTCAGAACTTCCTGTAAGGCTGACATTTACAACATTTATTCCTTTATCAAAGAAATTCCCCCATTTCTGCAGTACTTTGTAAATAAGTACAGATTTCATTTTTGTTTGCATGTTTTACTTAAACGTAAGAAGATCTTTAGCAGATTATCAACATATTTCTTGATTACATTATTAGAATGTGTAATTTATTCTTTATTTGAAAAAAAAAAACTTTGACTCCTGAGAAATATGCAGGAATCTTAATAGTTATGTGATAGAGATTGGTCATTGAAAAGATCACCAAATAATCCTTCAGATTAATGTAGAAACATTGAGACTGATTTAGATATGTATACACAAACTAAATATTCAGCTCTGCTACAAAATTCTGTTGTAAAACCAAAGATATTTAATGCGACATCAGATAGATCTGTGCTAAAATACCTTAATAGATAGTTTGAGATAAAAACACCTTGGTAAAAAAAAAAAACACTAAGAGAAATTGTAGTGTATTATTAGCTTATGGATGGCATCAACTTTACAAGATCAGGGCACTAAATTGAAAGAATTTTCCAGTGGAAACTTCTCTTCAAAAACATAAATGTCAGTTTATAAATAGATTTTAAAAACTAAACTTGTTTTGCAAGCTTTTTAGCTATGAGAGGAAAAATCACTGGAGCTGATCAGTAAAAACTGAACTATAATCCAGAAGTTTTAGCACGTTCAGATGACGGTAAAGGTCTTATAAAAGAGAATAGGACTTATTTTCACCATCATAACACTTTAGATAATCAAGATCTAACTATTAAAAACCAGTAGGATGTAAAAGGGGAGAGAGTTGGAGTGTTGATGAGGCCAGCTAGTGTCGCACAGAGTTCTCCAAGGACTCTCCGTCAGCATCTACGTCCCCGTGTAGCTCGCTGGAAATGTGGATTTCAACTGTACTAGACTCTGAACCTAGCAAGACAAAACAGGGGTACATTACTTGTTGTTGCTGCACACAGAATGTTTAACTGAATTTGTTACATATTACTAATAGGTTATGAAAATGTTAAACTGACATAAAATGTAGTTATTATAGAGAAAAATCACTTTAGATTCACAAATTCGTTTTGACTTTTCTGCAATCAATGAAAGAAAAATACATTTTGTAAATGAATGAGAACCAAAAGTCCTTCAGAAGAATAACTTTATTTTAAAATATTTGTCAGAGGCACCAAAAACAACACACAGAGCACACGGAATTGTAGTGTTGAAATAAAAATATAATTTTTGGCAGTAAATGCACACTTCCATACACTATAGTGTAAGTTCACAAGGTACATTTAGCTACAACTGATGTGGTCTAATACAACAAATATGCCAAAGAGTTGTAGATACAGTCAATCTAATCTTGGAGAAAAAGAAAAATGTAAAAAGATATGCTTTTAAGCCTTCATACCGTTTTGCCATGAACAGTACTCAGATCCATATCAAATCCTTTTTATATCTTATTTTTTTACATCAGCTAAAATCCTGATATGGGAGCAGCTTTGTTATATTAGACCGCATTAGGTACAGATATGGGATTTTTTTCTCTTAATGTGCAATCCTTCTCATAGCTCTTAGCTAATCGTCTGATTATCTGTAAATAATGATGCCTAAAAACCCTGAATGGAAAATCACAAAGGAGGCGATAACATTATACAATAAAGAAACATGTCTTTTAGATTTTGATTTCCATACAAATACTCTGGTAATGTTTCTTCCACTTCAGATCATTATTTACAGACAATCCATAAATCTCCATGAGTGCAGTTTCATGCTGCAGCTGCATATTCAATCAAAATAAAAAAGAAGATGTTACACAACAGGAGCTGACACCAACACAGATGTAAAAAAAACAACAAAGTTTAAAATGAATTTAAGTTGTTGTTTTTTTTTTCCTCAAATCAAATTGCTTAAGTTATTTTTTAACAAATGTTTTTGTTAAAGCAAACAGACTTCATGAACATCTATTCATGAACATCACCAGCCCTGATATACTGGTGAGCTGCTTGCTCCACTGGCAAACCAGTTACCTTCAGAGAGGACGCTGATGGCATCAGAGTGCTGCTGTCCGTTTCCCACTGTGTTTTTCTGGACTTCCTGAACGTGACTCTGGTAAAGCAGAGTCGATCCGAATACTGGATTTTGTCCAGGTGTGTTAGGCACAGAGGTAGAGCCCGAGTCCCAGGCCAGCTCTCTGTTCTGCTGTGGGTTAAGGTCCACGTCCAGCCCTGTCCAGCCATGAAAGGCCAGAGTGTTAAGGAATGCCGTCATCGGGTTCAGAATGCCCTGAAAGAGTCAGATGCATCATGAATACAAGCATTTTTCAGGTTTCAAAAAAGATGATCTATCTGCTTCTATCATTTCTGTTAAACCAACCATGATAAACCATGTAGTGAGTGCTGCATTTCTGATATCTCTAAGGCTGCTATCGCTGATGTCTGGCTGCATCTCCAGGTAGAAGAGGAGGCACTCATTGATGATATTTGGAGACCAGCTAAGATAAAAAAAAAAAAAAAAACAGTCTTACAAAACAGCAGCATTAAAGCAATCAGTACAAATGAATGAACAATGATTAAAGAACATTTTTAATTAATCATGAAATGACTCTCCTTATATTTTTAATGCTGAACAAACAACACTATTTACCATCCAAAAAGAACATTAAATAAAAGAGGTAAAACTGCTAAGTTTGTCTCAGAAGTCAGAACACAGACCGGGGCAAGAGCTTTTAGTCACAATTAGGCTAATAAACAGATGACACCCAGGCTGATAGTATGTTTAGTCCCTTTATATACTTTAAAACCCTAAACTTTAAAAAGTAGGACTGTACAGTGCATCTTGTGCTATTAGTTTAATATGATGCAGACTGTCAAAAGGAACAAATAAACAACTGAGTCCTTTTATTTGAACTATTTTTAGCAGACACTGCAAATCTTGTAAAAACTGAGGATCGCTTCGCTGACTTTCCAAATTAGATTTCAGAAGGCATTTCTAACAAGAGGTTTTAGAGATCGTCGATATCTCCTGTTACAAAATGATATAACTTGACTGAGGAGAGACAGGGAACAGAACTAGCTGCCAAGGAAAATACTTCAAGAAAAGTTCAACTTGTTTGGGGATAAAATAAAATGACATCACTGAAGTAAAAGTAAAAATTAATGTGCAGTAAAACTAGACGTACAAGTTTGCTATTTTAAAAAACATAAGTAAATATATAAGGGGGGATTTGTTGTAATCTGATGCTATAAAAGAATAATATAAAGAATAATCAGAGTTAAGTTGAACAAATATAAGACTTCAAAATACTTTCCTTAAAACATAAGGAAGTGAAGATGAGTGTAGCTGTTGGGTGGATAACTTACCAAACAAAGAAAACAAGCATTATTTTAAAGAAGCGAATTTTGATGTCGTTAGCCAGCCTTCTCTCATTTTCTGTATAAATTCCTTGTCGTCCTTTTAATAAAGATGTCACTGTGGAAAAGTAAGAAGTTTGCTTTTAATTTCTTCTTGGACATATATATGTGATGCACTTTAATTTTTCAGAGGCTGCAATTATGGAAATGAACTGACCTGCGGAGACGGTCCGGCTAAAGAACACAGGGTTGGCTACGAGGACGAGGAGCATAGGGGCGTACGTGGTGATGTAGTGTGGAATAGCATGCTGGAGGCCTTGTTCACAGCTGGGAAGAGAGAAAGATGATCAATAATACTCAGCTTTCAGAACTTGCATTCCATCTGACATATTTATAGCTGATATTTGCCTCCGAAATAATAAACATCTTAATATTGTTTAAAGTAAAAAAGAAAAAAAATAAACTGAAAAAAATACAAAATGCATTTGAATGAAAAGTAAAAAAAAAAAAGAAAGATGTCAAATGGAAAAGAAATGCAATGGGCTGTGGAAAAATTAAGGATATGGATCTAACTGGAGGCTATTTTAATATAAAAGCACCTTCAGCTCCTTTCAAAAGGGTCATAGTAACAATGCAGCAAATAGACAGAGGAAGCTGACTCCAAAGTTATGGTTTAACTGACTGGAAAGATTGATGCCTTCGAGTTATAATGTGAGCTGAGGGACAACCTCTGGCCTGAGAGGGAAATAAATTTAACAGTAGGTCTGTTATATATCTGAGGGATTATATATGTAAGCCTCTAAAAGTAGAATTCCTAAACTTAACTAGACTGGACTAGAGTGAGCCCAAACAGGAGAATTGATTTGTCAAAACAGGGAAAAGGGCCATCACTGTTATAAACTTGAGTTAAAACCAACATAAAGGTCAAATAATCATCTCAGGTTTCCCTCAGAAACCAGCGATCCAACCCCATTTATTTTCGTAAATGATGAGAACATTTCCTGAGATGCGTAAAGATTTTTTTTATGTGCTGTTATTGGGGGAAATAATCAAGGCATCTTCAACATTACAACACTTATGTTTTAATCAAGCCCCTTTAAGATTTAGATTAATAAAATAAAATAAAAATATGTTAAAAAAAAGAATCCATTCAAGAAAAATCCTGAGTGCTAAGTAGAAAGCAACTGAACTTCCTTTCCTTTCTTGGATACGTTACACCTCTACTTCAAAGGCTTCTTCACAAGTCTTTGATGAATGATATTCTACCAAAGTTTATATTTGTAAAACAATATATTCAACTATTGTCACCCATTCCAGGTAGGCAATACAAAGTTCTACTGGATTCACTTTGTATTAGTCTTTTTCCTGCTTTACAAAGGTAGGCTTGACGAAGCCATGATGGCAATTATTTTGCATCCAAGTAGTATGCAGTTCTTCATATGTTTCGGTATCGGGGCCAAAAAATGGCATCAGCGCAACACTAATTATTATATTAATAATTTTTTTTTTCTGGCCATTTTTTCACTTTATTGGGAAATTGCACACTAAAGGCTAATTTATACTAAGAAACCAGGTCGTTTGTGCATGAGATGCAGTGAATGCAAATGTGCCCCCGCCCCTTCCGCAGACACTTTGGTGCGCCTCTCCAAAATTGTAGGTGACCGCAGGCAGTGCCGCAGACAGAAGGCCTCTGATTGGTCAAACCTACATCCGCTCTATACTATGCGTATTTCCTGTTTGGTACCTTACCGGCTTATTTTGTTTTTATGACCGCCATTGCGGAAAACGACTTGTGAAGTTTGACCAGCTAGAGGAGCGAGGTCCACGAGAACGCTGGGACCCTTTTTCCACCTGGATCCCCGCTCTTTTTCGCCCTCATGTCCCTCCTTTGTCGCACAAACTTTCTTCCACTTCTTCACCGCCTCGGTTGTATCTAGACCCACAGCTCGTGATTGTCCCTTTTGCATTGGGGTGTGGAATAACATAGCACAGACTGCGACACGCTGCTGCGGGGAGTGTAAGCAGCCCTTTATGCTGAGGAGCACAGCAATCCGGCAGGAGGCTCTGAGTAAGGCCGCTGTTCCTTCATACCCAAATGAGTTGGCTGAGGTTGGCCTCCCTTGGAGAGTAATCCAAGCATGTCCCACAGGAGAGAGGCAAAGGGAACAGCCTTGCCACAGTTGGCATTGGAACGCCTTCCGCTTCCATGGGGATTGTGGTGTGGTAGATTTATCTGGCCTTGTGACCAAGTCAAAGAGGATGGTGAGAAGTAAGTGTACTTAAACCTAACTGCCAATCTGATTTGGGCAGACATCCCAAAAGTGTCACAACCTGCAGCTGATTCAATTTGTTCTGGTGTATATTTTGACAATTTATTTGCTGTTATGTTCCAAGGTTGTGCACTCTTGAGTTATTTTCCGCTGCTTATTATCGTTAGCTGTTGTATTTAGGTCATTCTTGTGCTCTTTGCACTTTTAGATTTTTGCTGTTTGATAGTTTCATGAGCTTCAAGTTTCTACTTACCTTCCATTACTGCTCTCTATACTCTGCCCAGCTGTTTGTTATTTATTCTTATTAAAATGATAAGAAGGAAACATATAGTCTATCCAGTTATCTCTGTCTCCCTCTGCTTTTGATTTATTTGTTTGCCTTACGGTTCCAGCTCCAGCCCTATTATGCTTAATATTTGTGTTTCCTTCACTTCTCTGTCTTCATAGTCACCTGCTTCTGGGTCAAAATATGAACAAATTATGAAAAAGTAATATGAAAGATGCAGACATGATATCGGGCATCATCAACAGCGACCTATTATTTTTTTTCTCACTACAGATGCATAAACCAAATCTTTCCTGCCTGCTAACATCAAAATGTCCTTAAATGTAAAGCGATTCAGATGGAAAAAGATTTTTTTTTTAAACAATTAGAAAATGATATTATTCAGGTTTTATTTTTTATCGTTATTTATTCAACCGTTCACATGGCTTTCAGATTTAAAACTGAACAGATTTGCTTGATTAATCTTTGGGAAAATGGAAACACGTCTTACTCTGAGATGGATGGATAGTAGAGCATGGCCACTCCTTCAACACACAGCAGCACAGCCAGACCCCACGTAATCATGTGGTAGAGGACAATGGTGCTAGGGGGGGAGAAGAAAGTCATGAGACTTGAACTCATAGCACATGCTGCAGATCTTTTTTTCTTGTGGATTTTTTCTTTTTTATTTCTTACAGGAAACAAACATCCTGCTCTGACAGAAGGAATATGAACAGCTATTGTGGAAGCATCAAACTGCTCACACTAACAGTGTGTACAAGATAACATTAATTAAAAAAAATTACCTGATCCCCGCAGAAGTTTTCACCACCAGGAAGACGTCCACAGCATAACAAAAAGTCCACCAAAATGAGGCACTGAAAAACAACTGGATCCACATCTGCAAAACATTAAAATGACAAATTGTCGGCAAAAATTATGGCTTTTTAAACTTTTACATTCAAAAATCCCCTTTATTTGGTGACAACCAAGCATAGAACAGTTACTGCTGTCAAAGGATGCCAGTGTATTGAAATATTTTTTTCAATTCTGGTTTCAAAATCGTCAAAGCTGGCATTTCTCTCTGTGACCTCCATCCCTCCCACACATGCACACTAGTTGCTAACAGATTTTTGTCTTGCTTACAAAAGAGACATATTGTTCTTTAAAATAAAGAATATCATCACTTTGAATCTAATAGTCTGCAGCAAACATGACTGAGCTAACACTGCAAGCATCATGTCTGTCATCTACTTACAACAGTAACGGTTTAAAATCAAAGCAGCATGGCAGAGCAGTTAAATGAGCTCTATTCTCTACTTTTGTGTTCTATTTTTTTCTGTAAATACACAGTGGCGTTTAAGGTCATCATACCATAAGAATCTCATGGTAGCTGGAAACAGTTCAAAGCTACAAACTGATACAAATGATGTTGACCTCAGCTGATTCTTTAATGCTAATCAGAACATGTGACCTTCCATGGCATTCTAATTTTACCGAAGCGTGTATGTGTTTATAAAAATAAAATACCATTAGTTATAAACTAACATGCATGTACCTAAGATGTGATGTGTGGCTAGAGTGTAACAAAATCACTGAACCACATCAAGTTCTGCTGAGCAGCATCCTTATACTTACTGCGCTGCCAACACAGAAGGTCTCTGGCAACACGTCCGTGTTGTTAGTCACTGAGATGCCTTCGATGATGCTCGGCAGGCCCAGCCACACAGAAGATCTGACAATGATCCCTGCAACAGAGAGATTTGCATGATCTTTAATCATTAAGTGCAGTAAGAGAGGAGGAAACACAAAAAACAGGCAGAGCATGTGGAATTTACCTGGATTTAATTAGCATGTTAACATGTGTTTACTTCTCTAAGCTGCTATGGTTTAGCACTTGCATTAATTACTGTCAGTCAGGGAGTCCTTTTAATGGCAGCTTTACATCATGGAAATATGACCTTCCAGCGGGTGTTTTTTATTGGGGTGTTTCCATTTTCTTCAAGAAAGTGGAAAAAATAAGGAGACCTCCTGGAACCTTCACGCAATGCGGTCTGCTTGGAGCTGTCCTAGTTCCGCAGCGGTGAATGGATCTCACCGGGCGTGGAAACATTACTTCACCTGCTTATCTTCTCAGTGGGAACGGTGATGAATGAACAGTTCAACAGTCAGAGCTGCACTTCCTCAGCATGCTGAGCAGCAGCTTGGATTCAAAACATGTGGGTAGGAAAAGTGCCAGAGAAAGATCCTCCTGGTCTTATTAATTTAAATTAAAAATAGCAAATATTAAATAATTGAATTTTAAATGGATATTTATAACACTATCTGTTAAGTTGTATTAAAAAACCAGCAGTTTTTCATATAGCTAAAACTGCACAATATATTAATTAACACAATAACTTTGTGTAATAAAGCGAAATTAGTGCAAAAAAACAGCATCACTATCACTGATTAAAAAAAAAGAAATAAAAATAAACCTGAGATTTAATGAGAAAGCATCATGAAAACAGTGGACTTGACTCTGTATGCTCAATTGCAACTAACAAAATGTGCTTCAAAGTTGGAAATGGAATGATCATTTTGTTATTGCCTACATGCAGGCTTCAATTTGATTCCAGAATAAGACTTAATTAAAAAGAACAAAATGGCAGAAAAGGGAAATATGATTGCTATTGGGGCTGGGAAATGAATGGCATTTGCAATAAAATCACAATTTAGAAAAATGCAATTTTCAAATCGCGGAGGCCCTCAATTTTAGTCACAATACATTTTAGAGGAGTAAGACATTAAATTTTTCCCTTTGGTGGCGGTGATACGATTAAAGTGGATATGCTGTCACACAGAAGGGAACAGAGAGTTGCAGCTAGCACCTACATCTAAGCATTATAGTAGAAATAAAACCTTTTTTATACAAATGTTACATCAAAGTCCTGTGGCACTGGATTCTGGACAAGCAGGATTTCAAGGTCATGGAAACCCTGGAGTCAAACATCGACATGGTTATGCTTAGTGCAGAGGAAAAACGCAAACAAATAAAATAAAATCGCAATTCTGATTTTTGGTGAAATCCTTCAGCTCTAATTGCTATACAAAATTCTCATGAATGTTGCACTAAACCATTAGACTGAGAATTATTCTTTTTTTTTTCCTGAATGTGTTTTTGAAAAAAAAAGGAGTATTTTCAGTTTTAAAGACAGTTATTTATGTCTTATACAAAAGTACCAAGGTTCATGTTTGTGCAGGTAATAAATATAGAAACAGGATTAATTTGTAGGTTTCATTAATGATTACTAAGCAAAATATATATAAGAGCTTTTTATTCTAAATCAATAAAATTTAAATCCAGGTGTATGGAGAATAAACTTATAATGTGTGGCCCACTCCTGACTTAATGCTGCACACTTCCAGTCTGCTGGCTGAAAAAACTCTACACTTTCAAAATTGTCTTGCATTGAAATATACCTGGTTATGGAAACAAGGGCAGTCATGAAATAGAAGCTGAAGTAATACCACAATCACTCATACTAAGGTAAAGCTGTGGCCGGCTAGTTAGCTAAGCAGAGCTAATTAACTTGTTATACTTTTATTCCTCTACAAAGAGTGGAATGGGATCCCATCTGTAATATTTGAGACAACAAATACTTTTCTATATTTTGGTTATGTCTTTATAACAAAACAACACATTGAATTTATTGAATTTCCCATTTGGGATTCATAAAGTATTTTTAAATGTTTTGAAATCAATTGAAATACACCTTATGTAATAATATGATTATTTCTTATTTAAAAATTGTTACTGGCATCTATAAAATGAAAAGAAACAACTTTACAATAGGCTATATTGGCTGTAAATAAAACAAACACATTTGTTCTAAATTTGTAAATATCTAAAAACAACAATAAAAATACCAACCACGTTTACCAAAGGATTGGCAGAAATAAGCACAGAAACCATTTTAGGATTCAGAAAAAGATTTGTTGAGCTGATTGTATTGCATAAACTTGCAAATCCTGCACTGCAAAAAGGCGTCTTCCATGATCATCAAGTGTTATTTACAGCTTATTTACTCATTCCTTAGATTGCCCTCTTTATCATCCATTTAATGGAATCACCTATCTATTTTATCAACACTTCAAATGGGATTTTAGAGAAACAGCTTTGTGTTAAGCAGCACAGTTTTATCATTTTGCTTTTATTTGATTTAATAACCGGTTTCTGCTGAGTTTGCAATCTGCATCTCCTCTGCTTCTCTGCAGGAGCTCTCTGTAAATCTGACCTGATGGAAATCTAACAATGTTTATATATATGACGGAAATAGGAAAGCCTCGTTTTACTGCTTTTCCTGCTTTCCACAACAGGTACCAATAACACCCAACAAGCAGCAGGTGGGTTTGGCTGCCTGTTAAAGAAATTATTAACAGACGTATATAAACTGCTATAAATACATGAAACGTACAGCTTCACAGTGTTTTAGGAACAAATGGATGGAGATTTCATTTTTCATTACCAAAATATTTTTGTATAAGGATCGGAGATTCAGTTTCAGAGCTAGAGTGTTTTATGTATAGAAAAGTAAAAAAATAAATAAATAAAAATGTTATAGTCAATCAGTTTCAAATTTACTCTAAGAATTATGAAAAA